ACAAGCTAGCCAACTGCAACTCCGCGCAGACCAACTTGTCAAGCTAAAATCCCTTGAAATGGCACACAACCGAGTCACACTATGAGGCGACTTAAAGCGAGAAAAACCAGATCACAGACGAAAAGTAACTGCGAGGAATATATATTTCATTAGGTGCTCGCTTACTGTCTAAATTTGGTTGTGCATTGATTTTAAAGGGACACTAAAAAGGAACAATTCCTGGTTTGGATTGATAAACTTATTTCTTATTGCTGTTTATTTATTATTACTGCTTATGTTACTAGCGTCGGTATGGACCTCCATGTCAGCATCATCGTCGAAATGAGCGAGAACGGGCGCTGATTGCATGCGCTGTCGCAGCTCATCAAAAGCTGCTTGTTGCTCGTTTTCCCAGACAAACGGTGTGTCGTCTCTTGTGAGACGAGTCAGAGGTTCTGCTATCTGTGAAAAGCCATGAATGAATCGGCGATAGTAGGCGCACAAACCAAGGAAGCGCCGGGCGGCTTTCTTATCGACAGGAGCTGGTAATTCGGCAACAGCGGCAAGCTTGTCCGGATCGAGACGGATTCCTTCGGCGCTAACTACATGTCCAAGAAACTTTAGTTCTTTATAGCCGAAGTGGCACTTCTGTGGCTTTAGTGTGAGGTCCGCCGATCGGATAGCCTCCAGCACGCTGCGCAGGCGCTGAAGGTGCTGCTCGAACGTGGCAGAGAAGACCACCACATCGTCAAGGTAGACAAGACAAGTCTGCCACTTCAGCCCTGTGGGGACAGTGTCCATCATTCGCTGGAAAGTCGCCGGCGCTGAACACAAGCCGAAAGGGAGTACTCGAAATTGGTATAGGCCGTCTGGAGTCACGAAGGCTGTCTTTTCGCGGTCTCGCTGATCTACCTCGATTTGCCAGTACCCGCTTTTGAGATCGAGAGAAGTGAAATAATGGGCATTACGAAGTCTATCTAGCGAATCGTCGATACGCGGTAGCGGGTACACATCCTTTTTGGTCACGTTGTTAAGCTTTCGGTAATCGACGCAGAAGCGTAGCGACCCGTCCTTCTTTTTGACAAGCACGACTGGAGATGACCACGGGCTGTTGGATGGTTCGATAACGCCATCGTCAAGCATCTCGCGAACTTGCGTACGTATCGCTTCACGTTCTTTAGCCGACACGCGGTAGGGGTGCTGGTGTGTTGGGCGTGCGTCCTCGTACGTGATGATCCTGTGTTGAGTGATGGACGTCTGGCGGATCTTCGAGCAACTTGCGAAGCAAGACCTGTACTCGAACAAGAGCGCTCGCAGCGCAGTCTGGTTATCGGTGGACAGATCAGGATTGATGTCAATGTTGCTCATTGATGTGTCTGCGTTATCCACTACTTCTGACGTGAGACAGTTGGTTACGTTTGCTACTTCGTGGGCAAACGCTATCGAAGTGCCACGGAAAAGGTGTCGATGCTCATTGCTAAAGTTGGTAACGAGCAATTCAGATCGGCCGTCGCGAACGTGTATTACACTTCTCGCTACACATATGCCTTGCTGCAGGAGGTGTTCTAAATTTGTCTCGGCCACCACATCGCCCACGCTCAAACCACAGCATGTTACGTCGACTAGAACACTGGCTCGGGGAGGAAGCGTCACGCTCTGTTCAGAAATACGGAGTACGTCGACACGCATTCCGTCATCCTGCACGTTGATTGCTCGCTGGGCTGAGAACGTGACGCGGCGCTCTTGCAGATCAATGATAGCTCCATTTTCCTGTAGAAAATCAACTCCCAGAATGACGTCACGGGAGCATTCACGTAGAACAAGGCAGCTTGCTACGAATGTGTACCCTTGAATCTGTACTCTAGTTGTGCAGGCACCCAGTGGAGTAACGACATGGCCACCAGCTGTCCGAATCTGCGAGTTATGCCATGGTGTGATTACTTTCTTCAGCTGCGTTGTCAGTTTCCCGCTCAGTATGGAATAGTCTGCGCCGGTGTCCACTAACGCATTAACTACACGACCATCAATTGTTACTGCTATGTCGAGTGAAAGCCGGCTATCCTTTGCAGCAGCAGGTGATGTCGGACCAGTTTCTGTATTGTTCTGCGTCAATAGGAGGTCTTCAGCGCTTCGACGTTCAGCGACCCCGCCCCCAGAGGTCGCTTCGGCTAGTTTTCCCGGCGGGGGCTGGGAGATCGTGCGGTAGAATACCGCTGGGGCGTTGATGAAAATCGCCTCGGTGATGGCGAGCGCGACTGGCGCCCGGCAGATGGTGGTGCATGCTGCTGGGAGAGGTAGTTTTGGATGTCGCGTGGTCTCTGACCGTAACGGGGTGGCGGCGAGTACGCAGAGAAGCCGCGAAGCCCAAGACGGCGATATGGGCACTGGCGGTACAAGTGATCAGCTTCTCCGCAGTGAAAGCACAGAGGCCGGCGATCAGGTGTGCGCCAAACATCAGACTTACGAGGAGACGTGCGCCGATCGTCGATGTACTGAACTGGTTGCACTGAACGATGGGCGACAGAAGCACCAGGGACAAAGTGCAGGGGCGGTGGCGTGTACGTGCCTTCGTAGTACGGTATGTGCTGCGCTGACTGTAGTGAAACAGCAGGAACAGGATGGACGAATAATGGCGGCGTTGCAGCAGGGCGTTTCAAGGCTTCCGCGTAGGTTGTCTCACGGCGGTATTCAGCAGGAGCTGGCACAGCTGTATCACGAGGCAAGGTGTCCCGGAGGGCCTGGTGCAGCTCATCCTTGATCACAGTCGCAATAGAGTTGACTGTAGGATGAGGTGTTACACCAGCCTTTTGTAACTCTTCGCGTACTACATCACGGATGAGTTCACGTAGACAGTCGTTGTTGGTTCTAGTGGCGGTGAAAATGTCGGCAGTAGACATGCCACTGACTCTCCTGTCGTATTGGTTGGATCGCTGCTGCAGCATTTTTTCCATTGTCACGGCCTCGGACAAGAACTCCGCGACCGTCTTCGGAGGACTTCGCACGAGGCCGGCAAAAAGCTGGTCCTTGACACCGCGCATCAAGTGACGCAACTTCTTGTCCTCAGTCATTCTCGAATCGGCCCGTCGGAAGAGGCGCGTCATGTCTTCGACGTACGCGGTCACAGTTTCGTTTGGCGACTGGACGCGGGCAAGAATAGCTCGTTCAGCTCTTTCTTGGCGGTCAGTGCTGGCATATGTCTGCAGAAGTCTACGAGAGAATTCGGGCCACGTCGTCAGCTGCTCCTCCCGATTTTGATACCACGTGCGAGCCCCGTCTTCGAGATAGAAGTAGACACGACCCAGTTTCGCCGCGTCGTCCCACTGATTCAAGTTGGCTACGCGCTCGAAGTCCGCCAACCAGTCCTCAACGTCTTCGCGCTCCGTACCATGGAACGTCGGCGGTGCCCGTGGGCTTTCCAACGTATAGCGGTTCGGCGACGTGCTTCCCGTGCCGGTTGCCAAGGTTTGTACCGAAGTGCTGGTCATGTTTGTTGACGTGGTGGGAGCAGTATCGTTGACTTCCGGAGGCAATCCCCTGATTCGGCGGCTGGTCCGATGCACGGGAGTGTTGACTGGCACTGGACTCGTATTACGGCTTCCTGGGGGGTCTGCAGCATCCGTGAGGCTACCCAGCACCTCCACCAGTTTGTCACGATGAGTCACAAGTACTGGGGGGATTTATTGAACAACCGGGTGGCTAGCTCTAGGACGATGCGTCAGTCGGGGCTGGCTCTCGAGCAGAGAAGAACGCGATCTTCTTCTTTCCTCCAGATTCAGAGCCGCTCTTGCTGCCAACCCACTACGTGCTAGCGGCATTATTATTACCGTTTATAAGTACCATGTTTTATCACTTCATTATTTTTATATAGTTGTTTTATAACATTGTTCTATTAATAATACATTGTCTTGCCATTTGCCCTTGTATTTTTTTCTATGCTTTCTTTATCGAGGGTCTCCCCTACAGTCTTCGGACTGTGGGACCCTAGTCTGTAAAACGTCTCCTTCATTCTATGTATCGCTACTTTGTTACTAATAAACTTCGAACTTCAAACTCTGAGAAATCCAATGCCGTAGCTTTCACTCTCATATGGTGTCACCCATTTGCAGATCCGAAGCCCTTCCGGTAATACTTTTTTCAGCTCCATAAGAAGCAAGTCTGTTCCACTGGCAGATTGAGAGTGCTCCCTTTATGTTCTATTGGCAGATCTGGGGCAGCTCCGTCATGAAATCCACTTCATGAAGCAACTTTTTCTGCTCTGTGAAAATTGGCAGGCTCAGCCGGAAGTTGCAAACGCCCCGTGTCTTGAAACGGTGCCAACTTTGGGCACACCAACGGACACCGCTCGCGTCGGAGCTCACGTTTTGCTAGCGTAGCGTCGCTGTGCGCAGCGTGCCCACTCAAGCAAGAAGTGAAACGTGCATATCCCATTCTATTCTGACCCTGCCATTTGCTTCAGAGGGAGGGTGTGTGTGTTCCATTGGTAGATTCCCTTCTGTTGCCCTCCGCGAGAGTGGAGTGCTCCAGTGCAGAGTTCGTCAGCCACTTTGATTCCGCCATGAGTGACACCAATAAGTTCATTATTATTCGAAAAAATCCAAGTTTAAATTTTGCTTCATTTTAAAATTTTGTGATGAAATATCCGCGCGTGACATAACAAATTACAAAATGTATTTTTCGTATTTCTGCTACATTGCTTCAATAAAATTTCTTAAAACTTCATATGCTATTTCTACGGAAGCCACAGATGACAATGTTGTACTTCATTTTTATCGAGCAGAAGCTATGCAGGACCAAATAGATGCCTTCAACATTTACCATGTCCCGGTGTTTGGTGCAGGAATTTCACAGTGGCATCTCCACCCGCGTTATTTTTTCGCGCCTTTTCTTGCTTACCAAGCGTCATGTTGTGATAAGAATTTTTTCAGGATGTCAAGAGGCAAAGGAGGGGGCAGAGAAACACTTGCGCTTAGGATTATTTCCTGAATGACAAAGCCATTGTGTAACAGTGCAAAAAGACTTGCCCAGATTCCTAGATGGCAGCTGCCTGATGAGGTTGCGGGTGTGGTAGGGTACGCTCGGCCGCCGCACCTCGGCGCCATTGAGTCGAGCTGGGTGGACGTAGCCGTGCTCGTCCTCCTCACCACTCTCCACTGCATCAGAAGGACCACATCGTCAGTTGCATGCCTGACTTAAGGATTAGCTGATTGCTTTACAAGATTAACCTAAAAGCGATCGGCTGACCACATGCCAGGTGCAATATGCACCCTTAGCAGCATTTATGGCCTTAGTTTATTTATACTTATTTATACCCTTAATCTTATCAGAAATCGTAAGATGAATGACATTTACAGCACTCAAGGAAAGAAATGTGACAATTTAGGAGCAAGCAGTCTAAGTTCACGTCATGTTGGCCCACATCCATAGAGCTTCCCAATATTATGCACTTTTAGCTGAGCGTCACTTATGCTCATTTACGTGCACCTTTATCACAGCCTTGCCACCATACGAAACACTCAAATTACAGGTGCACATGGTACAGAATGCGTACTTGTCATCTTTCCGCAAGTCACGAGGCACAGAAACTCAGCTGGGTATCAGTCCAGAAGCACTTGCAAGTACTTCTTTGCTTTTAACGCCGCCACCGACATTCTAACTGAACTCGAAGAAACACGCGAACCTCCACAACTATGTACCAAACACAATTGCGGTACCGGGGCAAACGCGTCTCAGGGCCGCTGGCCTTCGCTCAGATATGTAATACTATAGTGCCTAAAATAATATATTTGGCAGTACTCTATGGTATGGTTACAGTGAACTAGAAGTGTAGTGGCAAATGCTCGTCCACAGCAGTGCAACTTTCGCAGCAGAAAAATCGTTGTCTTTCATTAATTTTGTCGGAGAATCAGATGATTTAAACTTGGAAAAAATAAAACGTACAGCGCGTCTTTGAACCATTTCAAGTTTTTGAATGTCTTTTTTGTAGAAAGGGTCCCAAACCACTGATGCATATTCAAGTTTAGGCAAAATGTACGCTTTGTACGCGAGCATTTTTAATTTCGGAGGGGCTTTTTTCAGTTTGTGCCTCAGAAAACCAAGCTTACGAGAAGCTGATGCGGAGACATTTGTTATATGTGCGGACCAAGAAAGTGTGTTTGTAATGGTTACTCCTAGGTATTTATATTCATTTACTTCACGTACTGGTGTTCCTTGGACGTTGTAGGTAAACGTGAATGGCTGTTTTTTTCTTGTCACACGTAGGAGTACCGTTTTGTCAGAGTTTAATGTCATTGACGACCGAGTACACCACTCACTAACTTGTGTTAATGCAAGACTTAGATCAACCTGATCTTGTTGGCATGTCACTTTTTTATATACTACGCAGTCGTCAGCGAACAATCGGATACTAACGTTAGACTCAACCATGTCAGCTATATCATTTATGTATATAAGAAAAAGAATCGGCCCTAAAACACTTCCCTGTGGGACACCTGATAATACCGGTAACGTGTTAGAAATATGTCCCCCCACGTCAACGTACTGAGCGCGGTTTGAAAGATAAGCCTCTATCCAACTTATGATGAAAAATGGAACATTCAGGTTTCGGAGCTTTATGAGAAGTTTGCCATGGGGAACGCGGTCAAATGCCTTGCTAAAGTCTAAAAAAATTAAATCAACCTGGCCTGAAAAATCAAGTACTTGTGCGATATCATGAACTGTTGCAACTAGCTGCGTGCACGTTGATAATTTTTCCGAAAGCCATGCTGGGCTGGAGACAACAGGTTATTATTTTCAAGAAAATCGGTAATAAAGTGAGCAATACCGTATATACTCGTGTAAGGGCCGCACTTTTTTTTCGAAAATTTTGCTAGGTGCGGCCCTTACACGAATCAGGCCGATTTAGTACAGGCAGTACAGGCCAAAGGTCTGTACTGTTTATGCAACAGTAGCAGAGTGCAAGAGTCACAAATGACATGCCAGAAATGTTTTATTCGGATTCCATTTCGCTGTCCTCGTTCTCGGAGGAGCTCGCCTCGGCCGTCCGCGTCTTCCAGAGACCGGTCATCTTCGGTGCCGTTCATGGAGTTCGAAATTCCCGTTACCTTGAAGCTTTTAGCAACTACTTCTACTGACATGGCACGCCACGCATTCAAAATCCATCACACACCTGTTGGAGCGACGCCCGCTTCAGCGTCCTGTAGGGGTCTTCTCGTGGACGCCTCCAGCCATCCATTCAGAGTAACATCGGCGAAATTCCACTTTGAATGGTCTTTGACGCATACGTCGAGCGGCTGCAGCACACTCGTCAGGCACCGGGAATGACGGCCAAGTTCCGTACGAGTTGCGGCAACTCGGTTCTTGACGCGGTCGGTCAAGTGGCCCCTAAAGCTGTCCAAAACAAGGAGGGCTTTCCGTTGTAACAGCCCTCCAGGTCTGTTTGCCCAGGACGGTCTTAATCCAGTCACGACCAGTTCCTCGGACATCCAGCCCTTCTCTTGCGCACGTACGACGATTCCCTGAGGGAACTTCTCTTTGGGAGAGTCTTCCTTTTAAATACGACGTACGGCGGAAGCCTCCTGCCGTCTGCCGTGATGCACAACATCACAGTGCACCTTTGGCGTTCTGCACCAGTCGTGCGCACAGACACACTTTTCGCACCTTTTAAATCCACTGTGGTGCTTTCGGTGCATCGAACCACACAGGTGTCTGGTCCGCATTCCCAATTTGGGACAGGTCGTATTCATGCTCCCTCCTGAGAGCATTCACGAAGCGATGAAACTTAATGACGTGGTCTTCGTACTCGCGCGGCAGTTTTTGGCAAATCGTCGTTCGGCGCCGAATAGAAAGCTGGTTACGGTTCATAAACCGCGTAGCCCAGCCCCGACTTGCCTTGAATTGTTGCCGGGGGTATTTCCATGTGGCGAGCGATGCTGAGGGCTTTGACGCGTATCATGTCAGTCGATACGGCGTAGCCGTCCCTTCGTGTGTCGACGACGTAGTTGACGAGCTCGCTTTCGAGTTGCGGGTACTTGCACTTTTTCCCGCCGAAACGCCTTTCGGCTCCTGTTAGTAGCGGCGAGGGCATCTTTCTGATTCATCCAGTAACGCACGCGCTTCTCATCGACGTCGTACTTTCGTCCAGCTTCCCGCTTCCCGTGCTCCTCGGCATAGTCAATCACTTGCAGCTTAAATGCTGCAGTGAATGATCTCAGATGCCGGCCCATCGTCCGTCACGTGCGCTGGCTTCTGCAGGGTTCACTACAACCAACAAAGTGACACCGACGACACCGATCTGAAGTCGCGCTGCCAACGTATCGACACGATGCTAGGAACGATGCCAACAAAGAGGCCGCACAAGGCAAATATGGCGGCGCGCTGTCAACAGCGTGGTCGGCGCGTCGGCGGAAGTAGAATAAAAGCGGAAAAGCGTGCAGCGCCATCTGGCTGTAAATGAACTAACTACACTTTTCTGGCGGGACATTTTGAACTTTTGTTTTTTTTTTTTTCGAAATATCCGCTTTCAAAGTTGGGGTGCGGCCCTTACACGAGGGCGGCCCTTACACGAGTATATACGGTAATGTGTTCAAGTACCTTGCAGCATGTAGACGTTAGGGAAATTGGGCGGTAGTTTTCCTTCAGCAGGCGATCACCTTTCTTATGCACAGCTACAACCCTGGCGAGACGCCAGTCATCTGGTAACGTTGCCGTTTTGAGTGATTCAGAGAAAACAGTGGTTAAAATATGCGATATTGGTTCAGCGTATCGACGCAAGAAAGAATTCGGTATGCCGTCAGGGCCACCAGAGGATTTTTCTTTTACGCCAAGTAACAGTGACAACACACCCTCAAAGCTGATAAAATCCGAATCAGGCAAGGATGAACAAGTTCGAGAGATGTAGTATCTTTGAAGAAAACACGTAATGAAGATAATCATTCATAATGTTGGAAATTTCTGTTAAGTCAGTAACTACTAAGTCATTCTCCCTTAATTTTTCTAAAGTTGGAGCCTTATTTCCCAAGTATTGCCAAAATTTTTCCGGATTATTCTTTAAGAAACTCGGTAAGGTCGATGAAAAATATTTATCTCGGGATGCTGTTAGTGTGCAAGAAAGTTCAGCTTGAATTGTTGAATACCATCGGGATTTCTGTTTGATTTCTTTTTGGCGCGCTTTAGTTTTCGCTTAATGTGTACAATGTCGCGGGTTACCCAGGGATTAGCCCTCCTTGTTTTAACGTGGCGGTCAGGAACAAAAGATTCTAAACAGTGCAGTACAGCATGCTTAAAGGATAGCCACAAAGAAATGACATCACTGCGGGGTTCCTGGTCTACAAGCTGCCATAATACATCAAGAATAGACTGATCATCAGCCTTCGCCATATCTTTTACGGTTTTTGTAACTGTTTTGGGGTGTTGCGTACTATCAGCAAGTTTACAAGTCACCAGTACTAGCTTGTGGTCTGATATACCCTCTTCAATGGCTACGTCGTACGACGGAATATCTCTGTTAAGAAATACAAGATCTAATATCGAACCATGATTACCAATTACGCGCGTGTTTTCAAGTACCACTTGTTGCAAGTCGCAAGAAAGCATAATGTCATACAGAGGGCTATCAATTACATTGGCAGTCAGCTTCTGCGACCACTTAATGGAGGGCAAGTTGAAATCCCCAGCCATTAAAATACGAGGACACTTTAACGACGACATGTGATCGCGTAGCAGTGATAAGAATTCGGGAGGAGAAGACGGGGGCCGATAGACAGCACATAGAACAAACACGTGGCCCCAGCAGTTTACTTTAGAAAAAGGCTTTCGTGGTCATCTATTTGCGCAAGTGCGCTGGCGGCAAAACTGTTTTTCAATATTATCGCCACGCCTCCACCCCTACTTGTGCGATCGCGTCGAAAGATCTGATACGACGGAGGAATACATCCACATCACTGATATTACTATGTAACCATGTTTCAGACACCATCGTTATATGCGGATCATATCTGAAAATAAGTTGTTCAAGCTGTTCAGTCTTATTCGCTAAACTTCGAGCATTGAAACTAAGCAGTCTAAGTTCCTTTGAACGAGTGTGCGTGTGAGGTCATTGATTTTCGCGTGGCCTACGAGCTTCTCGGAAAAGGACACGCTGGTTTCTAGTCTCGTCCCATACGTAAAGGCTACCATCAATGCTTAGCTTCTCGTTAGCAAGGAAAACACGTTTTCCTCGAGATTTTTCATCCTGGGCGGTTTCCCAGAGAAGGCGCCTTTTACGCAGGGTGTATTGACTGTAGTCGTTCTGCAAATAAATTTTAGTGCTTTTGAGCATTTTAGCTTTCCGCATGACTGCTTCTTTTTCTAGGAAGTCCTGGAAGTAAACGATTACAGGCCTTTTGCCAGATTTTTGCCCAAGACGGTGAATTCTGGCAACAGAACGGACGGTTTCCCTTAGCTTCTGTGAGAAGAGCTCGTCGACCACTTCACGTCGCAGCGATTTTTCATTTTCGCCTTCCTGTTCACTAATTCCATGAGTAATGATGTTGCAACGCCGACTGCGATCCTCAAGATCCGTCGGCTTAGTGTTTTGTTGTTGAATTACTTCTTTTAAGCTTTGAACTTCAGTCTGAAGTGATTCAATTTCTGAAGTTTTTTCACGAATTTCTTTTAACCGTTCATTAACTTCTACCCATTTTGCATTTAGGAATGACACGGTTTTTTCTGTTGTATTGGTTGGATCGCTGCTGCAGCATTTTTTCCATTGTCACGGCCTCGGACAAGAACTCCGCGACCGTCTTCGGAGGACTTCGCACGAGGCCGGCAAAAAGCTGGTCCTTGACACCGCGCATCAAGTGACGCAACTTCTTGTCCTCAGTCATTCTCGAATCGGCCCGTCGGAAGAGGCGCGTCATGTCTTCGACGTACGCGGTCACAGTTTCGTTTGGCGACTGGACGCGGGCAAGAATAGCTCGTTCAGCTCTTTCTTGGCGGTCAGTGCTGGCATATGTCTGCAGAAGTCTACGAGAGAATTCGGGCCACGTCGTCAGCTGCTCCTCCCGATTTTGATACCACAGTGCGAGCCCCCGTCTTCGAGATAGAAGTAGACACGACCCAGTTTCGCCGCGTCGTCCCACTGATTCAAGTTGGCTACGCGCTCGAAGTCCGCCAACCAGTCCTCAACGTCTTCGCGCTCCGTACCATGGAACGTCGGCGGTGCCCGTGGGCTTTCCAACGTATAGCGGTTCGGCGACGTGCTTCCCGTGCCGGTTGCCAAGGTTTGTACCGAAGTGCTGGTCATGTTTGTTGACGTGGTGGGAGCAGTATCGTTGACTTCCGGAGGCAATCCCCTGATTCGGCGGCTGGTCCGATGCACGGGAGTGTTGACTGGCACTGGACTCGTATTACGGCTTCCTGGGGGGTCTGCAGCATCCGTGAGGCTACCCAGCACCTCCACCAGTTTGTCACGATGAGTCACAAGTACTGGGGGGATTTATTGAACAACCGGGTGGCTAGCTCTAGGACGATGCGTCAGTCGGGGCTGGCTCTCGAGCAGAGAAGAACGCGATCTTCTTCTTTCCTCCAGATTCAGAGCCGCTCTGCTGCCAACCCACTACGTGCTAGCGGCATTATTATTACCGTTTATAAGTACCATGTTTTATCACTTCATTATTTTTATATAGTTGTTTTATAACATTGTTCTATTAATAATACATTGTCTTGCCATTTGCCCTTGTATTTTTTTCTATGCTTTCTTTATCGAGGGTCTCCCCATACAGTTTTCGGACTGTGGGACCCTAGTCTGTAAAACGTCTCCTTCATTCTATGTATCGCTACTTTGTTACTAATAAACTTCGAACTTCAAACTCTGAGAAATCCAATGCCGTAGCTTTCACTCTCATATGGTGTCACCCATTTGCAGATCCGAAGCCCTTCCGGTAATACTTTTTTCAGCTCCATAAGAAGCAAGTCTGTTCCACTGGCAGATTGAGAGTGCTCCCTTTATGTTCTATTGGCAGATCTGGGGCAGCTCCGTCATGAAATCCACTTCATGAAGCAACTTTTTCTACTCCGTGAAAATCGGCAGGCTCAGCCGGAAGTCGCAAGCGCCCCGTGTCTTGAAACGGTGCCAACTTTGGCCACACCAACCGACATCGTTCGCGTCAGAGCTCACGTTTTGCTAGCGTAGCGTCGCTGTGCGCAGCGTGCCCACTCAAGCAAGAAGTGAAACGTGCATATCCCATTCTATTCTGACCCTGCCATTTGCTTCAGAGGGAGGGTGTGTGTGTTCCATTGGTAGATTCCCTTCTGTTGCCCTCCGCGAGAGTGGAGTGCTCCAGTGCAGAGTTCGTCAGCCACTTTGATTCCGCCATGAGTGACACCAATAAGTTCATTATTATTCGAAAAAATCCAAGTTTAAATTTTGCTTCATTTTAAAATTTTGTGATGAAATATCCGCGCGTGACATAACAAATTACAAAATGTATTTTTCGTATTTCTGCTACATTGCTTCAATAAAATTTCTTAAAACTTCATATGCTATTTCTATGGAAGCCACAGATGACAATGTTGTACTTCATTTTTATCGAGCAGAAGCTATGCAGGACCAAATAGATGCCTTCAACATTTACCATGTCCCGGTGTTTGGTGCAGGAATTTCACAGTGGCATCTCCACCCGCGTTATTTTTTCGCGCCTTTTCTTGCTTACCAAGCGTCATGTTGTGATAAGAATTTTTTCAGGATGTCAAGAGGCAAAGGAGGGGGCAGAGAAACACTTGCGCTTAGGATTATTTCCTGAATGACAAAGCCATTGTGTAACAGTGCAAAAAGACTTGCCCAGATTCCTAGATGGCAGCTGCCTGATGAGGTTGCGGGTGTGGTAGGGTACGCTCGGCCGCCGCACCTCGGCGCCATTGAGTCGAGCTGGGTGGACGTAGCCGTGCTCGTCCTCCTCACCACTCTCCACTGCATCAGAAGGACCACATCGTCAGTTGCATGCCTGACTTAAGGATTAGCTGATTGCTTTACAAGATTAACCTAAAAGCGATCGGCTGACCACATGCCAGGTGCAATATGCACCCTTAGCAGCATTTATGGCCTTAGTTTATTTATACTTATTTATACCCTTAATCTTATCAGAAATCGTAAGATGAATGACATTTACAGCACTCAAGGAAAGAAATGTGACAATTTAGGAGCAAGCAGTCTAAGTTCACGTCATGTTGGCCCACATCCATAGAGCTTCCCAATATTATGCACTTTTAGCTGAGCGTCACTTATGCTCATTTACGTGCACCTTTATCACAGCCTTGCCACCATACGAAACACTCAAATTACAGGTGCACATGGTACAGAATGCGTACTTGTCATCTTTCCGCAAGTCACGAGGCACAAACTCAGCTGGGTATCAGTCCAGAAGCACTTGCAAGTACTTCTTTGCTTTTAACGCCGCCACCGACATTCTAACTGAACTCGAAGAAACACGCGAACCTCCACAACTATGTACCAAACACAATTGCGGTACCGGGGCAAACGCGTCTCAGGGCCGCTGGCCTTCGCTCAGATATGTAATACTATAGTGCCTAAAATAATATATTTGGCAGTATTCTATGGTATGGTTACAGTGAACTAGAAGTGTAGTGGCAAATGCTCGTCCACAGCAGTGCAACTTTCGCAGCAGAAAAAGCTGACGTACGTTGACGTACGTAAGTGATTCAAAAAAAGAAAAAAAAGAAAAAGAAACAGAATTCTTAGCAGTGGCGGCCACTTATCGAGAAATTCAAGACACTATTCGTACAATCGGGAGATTAGGTCAAAATTTAAAAGTCTCCTGGACGATTCGGGGAGAGTTGTCAGGTACACAACTATGGTATCTGTTGTGATCTCGAGGAGCTCCAAGAAGCGTGCGTGCTACGGCGCTATGAGGCACTTTGCAAACTCTGTGACAAATTTGCACGACAACATTGGCACTGCAGCAAGTTCCCATCGAAGCACCAAAACAGATCGTCGATTACATGAATAACAATAAAGCATGGCCGCTGCCTCACCCTCCGCATGAGAAATGACTGTAGAAAAGATAGTCTATATCTTGGGTTTCTTAAAGTAAGCGCGGAGTAAGCGCATGAAGAGCAAATTGGAACCGAAGCGAGAATCAGGGGTGCTGACACATTATAAAAATCGTCAAACCTTTCTGGGCCACATGCGATTTTTTCTGGTTTTCCAGAAATCTGCGACATACCTATGAGGCGATGGCGATGGATGGCCCTTCGTGACAGCCACAGGAACAGCGAATCTTGCCACCATCGCTCAGAAAGAACATGCAGGTGCCTTAAAGTCTCATAATTGCAGGCACTGACCATTGGTGGGCGTGGCCTGTTTCGTGACTTTCACTCGCAGTGTGCTTGTCACCTGCCATGCCTCTACACTCGCACCATTCCTAAACTCTGGTATGACGCACCGATAATTAAAAAAGACTTGGGACGTGCCGCACACAGATAGAAAGAAAAAACTGTGCACAGCAGCCGGTGAAGGAGGGGGAATGGAGAATAGAAAGGGGACGGCATAATAAATAATGAAGAAGATCTAATGGGTAACGAGGCTCAAGGTGTCAGTTCATGGTACGGATGAATGTAGGGGGCGCGTCTGTTACATGGGAGAAAAATGAAATTCTAATTTTGACATCTGAAGTTGGGGGTGTGTTTACAGTCAAACCCCTTTATAAGAAACACTGATGTAAGAGACAAATGGGCAATAGAGAGACCAGTGTGCCCACTATAAGATACAGGTTGATAAAAAAATGCATACGAGGTACCCTGCTTATAAAAGACATCCCATATAAAAGACAATAGCTGCGCCGAGTATGCCTCTTATAAAAGGGTTTAACTGCATTATGCGACTGCGTTCATTCCGTAAGTAAATATTGTATTGATGATTGCAGCTTTGAACGCACTTGGGGCTTTGTTTATTGTTGCGCTTTGGCTGCTGTTTCGAATGATAGAATGGATCACAGTGAACCTCGTGAGCCAATTTGAATTGATGAGCATAAGAAGGTTAAAAGTAATGTAGCGCTCAGAAAAATTTTTTTGATTGTAGTGCAAATGACAAGTTCATGCATCACATTGGCAGAAACGAGCATGCTTCTTTCCCTTAAACCTTTCAGCCCTGATTTTTTATTTTAGTCAGATACACTTTTTGTGTGCGTTTTTCTAGTAGTTAGGTCCTCAGAAGACCACAAACGAAAAATTGAGCCACTGGTACAAGTATTTTCGGATTAATTAACGTGGCATCAAACTAGGTAATTAGGGCCCTGCGATTGGGAAATGAAAAAAGTGGCTTATTTTTTCTGTCAATCAATGGTGCACACAAAATGGAAACCAACGTCTAATTTTCAGCCTAATACTCACTGAAACAGCTTCGGTACGTCGTCCCGAAAATGGCGCTTGTCCGCCTCAATTACGTGCCTCGGCTTCACGGAAGACCTCGGTCAGGCTTCTTCTTCTTTGTGGCTGCTACCTCCACAAACGTGCCGCAATATTGGTGTCAATTGCAGTGGGGATCATTGAAGAACTATGCCCCCAAAAATGAGCAGTATTGGTTACGTTTCCGAGATACTAGGGGAAATTTTGTGCGGTGGTGTCAATTGACACCGCCAGGGCCGAAAGGGTTAAAAAATGAAGTATAATTTTAACTTGATGCCGAAAGTCGACAAAAAATTACCATAGCGTCACCTGACAGCAATGTGGTCAACATACTGGAAGGACAAGAAATCCTTGCAGGTAGACTTATTTTGCTTGAAAACAAACATGTATAACCTTAAATTGTATCTTATGCACTTGAGGCTGCACCAGAGATTAAATTTTGGTTTTTTTCTCCCGCATTTAAAGAGGCACCTGGTGGTGCTACCAGCGATGTGTTTGCCTGCCTGCATACGGTGGAGAAACGCGAGCACGGTGTCTGCTGCCACTCATAAGAACAGCCCAAGAATGTGCATGTGCCTTAAAGGACCACTAAGGTATTTGTTTTATCAATAAAGAAAACTTGATGACGCTTGCGAAAACCACACGCAGTTTCAGTTTTCGACTTTCACCAGCATTACGCATAACAATTGTCACCACCTCCACCAACCATTGTTTTGAGCATTCATCCCACCAATTGGAGAACAAACACAGGTCGAAACAGAGAAGCCGCTGTAAGGTAAGACACTCCAGATGGTACCTTTATATATATTGCAACACAAAACAGAAGAGCAGTGCAGGATGATAGACAGTCCCTTCAAGACATTGAAACGGAACTGCTGAACTTTTGTTGAACTTCATCATGCGACAGAGTGACTCCAGGCCTCTTGGAGGCAAAGGAATGAAGCTTGGGCCAATCTGTGTATTACATATGCATTCCCAAACTGGCCCTGCAGTGCAGCTTCGATAAACACAAATGCCTGACTTATTTACAGGTAATTATATGCCCACATCACCTCTAGTGGTCAGATCACCTCTAGGTGACATGACATGGTTATCTGGAGAAATTTCCTTCATAAATTGTTATAATTGAAGGATTCAAAACACGCTTTTTCTGTGGGCACCGTAGAGTGCCCAGGGGATGACTCGTGAGGTGTTTAAAGTGCGATAACCTACATGTGCAACAGTTTTACAAAAATTTTGCAAGATGTGCGGCGGCCAGGGGCGGATTATCCAGGGTTCAAATGAACCCGGCCCTCTGGTTTTAGGAGGCCCGCCAATGGCCAGAAAAGATGGCCGATTTTGTTGTTTTGTTCGAAAAAGTTTAACTCTGCTGATGTATTCCCCTGATAAAAACAGATTATCTATTTCAATAACCAATACACATGCATCTAAGAGGTTGTTTATTGCATAACGTGCATAATCTTGAAGTCAGCTCAAAGTTCTGTGTCTGGCGTAAAAACCTTTTAATCGCCCAAGACTATGCATCATGTAGAGATGAAGGAGCTGATACAGTCGATAGACCCATGCATAGCGCAGCTTGACGAGGATTTCAGCAGCTGGGTCCAAAATGCAATGCAAAGACACATAGAGAGTGGTTCCTGTCTGAAATATCGCCTAATGTGCTGAAGGCAGATAGCCGGTATGAAGCTGATGCATAGGTGTGCTATAGTATGCTTTCATTATAATGTAAACAACGCATTATGAAATATCTGTATGGTACAGAACTTCTCGATTATGCAAAGACTCCGGAGGAGTAATGGTTCAATTGTTTCTGCCATTGCCGTTCTGTTTTATTCTTGCTTAGTGGTTATATATAAAAAAAAAATGGCAGCATATCCACGGAGTGAATGATGGATAGTGGGGCGAAGCATGCGTCCGTCTATTCGTTCTTGCTTCCGTCCGTCCATGCGTGCGTCTGTGTGGCCACCCGTGCGTCCGTCCGCCCTCCCGTGCGTGCATCTGTTTGTGCGTCCGCACATTCATCTGTGTGCCCGTCCCTGCGTCCATCCATGCATCCATCCGTCCGTGCAGCCATCCGTGCGTCCGTCCATGCATCTGTCTGTGTGTCCACTCGTCCACCTATTCAACACTCCAAGTACCACCATCTCGCATCTTTTCATCATATATTCCTGATATAGCGGCACCGCCATCCAGCGGACATTCCAAGGACTGAACGAGAGGAGGCACACGCACACTTTCTTACGGCTTGCACTTCATGTCTACTTCCCACCTTTAACCACCTCGAGTTCATGGTATATACTAGTTCACTGTATTCATGGCACTGCGGCCCAACGCTCGCAAGACCTTTCTAAAACATAGGAGGTCATGCCCAGCGAGTATAACGTAGCAACCCTTTCCTGTCTTCTGTGCGTTGTTGAACAATGAAAAATTCGCAGCGTGCGCGTTAACTAAAAGCCAAATTCTCCTGTCTCTCATTCCCCCTTATCAGCCATTGGCATGTACATTGACCCCTATCTTTTATTGTTCAACAACGCACAGAAAAAATCTCTCACCGGCACCACCTTGGAGGTCAAAATGTGATACTTGTTACACACTACTACTACGGCCATGAGGGACGAACGGGTGCCGCTATAAGGAGCTTCGCCCCTAAAACTAAAGAGACTATCACTTGGAAAAAGGTTGTGCACAGGAAATATCTACAACATATATGCACTATCTGGTCGCCAGCAGACCCTCACCGCTATTACTTGAGCTTTGTAGTGGAGGTCTTCAATCCACCCATCACTTTTAGACTCGCAATGATCTGCATAGCAACCACGGGCGTCTCAGATTAACATCACGTTTGTCCAAGCTGACATAACACCACTGCCACGCTCAACAATGCCCGACAAAGCACAGCCCTTACGAGTATATTCCTCGGTAAAAGAGATTTTGTGTGAACACAACACTGCAAGAAGGAAAATGCCTAAGTGACATTAAACACTCCTAGAGGCTTAAAATAAACATGGCTTGTGTTCTCTGCATCTAAATTTAAAAAGTGTCAAGTATCAAGCATGACCAAATGACCAAGCGGAAATGAAAGGGGCAGGGGGACGCCCCCCCCCCCCCCTTATTTTTTGAATCGGGCCCTCCGCACTGTTAACCCAGCCCTGGTGGCGGCATACTTTTAAGTTTACTTCAGCTATTAGTACTTTGAACAGGAACATTATACAAAGTAGATATACAGGAGGAGGTCTGAAAGCACGAGGCTGCGGGAGGACCTCCTGCGATGGTAACGAAAGTGTCGTACAAGATTACCTGAAAACAGCCAGTAGACGTAAGAAAAACTGCATCTCCCAGCAAGAACAACTAATGCACTTCATGCAAGTATGTAACCACTGCACCTGTGCACATTGCCAAAGGAAAGACTGTGATAGTCAGTTCGTTTACTTACATGCATCCAGATAAATGGTGTTTGATGGACGTCTGGGACCTCCATTCTCTCTCGTGTCTCGATCGCCCATGGTTCCTGCATGAGAGATCTCTCAAACTTGGGCAACCGATTCCTTTGAAGCTTTACACACCACATGTTTTCTGCACACATCTGTTTGCCCGAAGGCTAACTGTTTGGCGAAGACAGATGGTGCCCACTAAACATGCTTATCAGAAGCAGCACATGTAGTGGAACTTATAAATGCACTCTAATCTCATTGTATAATTAGGTGGAACTCAGATGAAAATGTTGCTTATAATATTACATATGCTCGACATTCATTATGAAAGAATGACAAGATATGGCATTATAAAATGCACAGTTTAGGAGATGCACAACAATAGATAAAATCCCAGCTTTTGCTCAAGATGAGCACTATCAACTTTTCATTGATAGCATCAGTGTGCACAGCATATATCTTCACATTTTGTGGATTAATATTCGAGCAATGTATCAGGTTTCTTCCATGATTGTTTAAACTGTTTTCTCTTCTGACTGACTTGCATGACAATTTTGAGTACCTTGAGAGTTGCAAAAGTGGTTTTCAAACATTCTTCAGCCATATTTCATGCCACTATAGCTGTGAATTAAGAAGCATGAAGAATCACACGCCATTAGTTTGCAAGAAGTTAATAAGTCAATGTGAGTAATCTAAGTGACCCTTTCATTCTTCCTCCCTTATGAAGCTGCAGTACACATAACATAAGATCCACGAAAAAATCTTTGGATCACACAGGGTCAAGCGTGGCCTCCGTGGTATCTATGACACACATTTTGCCTTCACCAGGTTTGATCATTGCAAACAAGTGCGATGTATAAATCAAGCAAAAGCGATTGTGTCTGCACAGTATGAAATGACAGCGTAGTGAGAAAATGGTTAAAATTTCTAACGAAAAGTCGGGCACCTTTGCTTTATATGTGTCACAACTCGTGGAGTCATGCGTAAATGCCTCTGCACAGTATGCTGTGCTTGAAGCATCACTGACAGATTTGGACATAATTAAGTAGTGTAGTTGACTACTCGTATTGAATAAAGTTACCTTGTTGATGAAAACCAGCACACAATGAAGCCAAGGAAAATATAGAGAATGTCAATTGTGCTGTTGTAAGCGTATTGTAGAAACTGTAGTACATATGTCAAGAAAGTGAGGTGGACGAAAAGACGACTTGCCGCCTGCAGGGAACCGAGCCTGCGACCTGTTGTGTAACTTTTAAAATTCTCTTACCTGGCAGCGGCTGCTGTAAATGAACAACTATGTTTTTTTTTTCTGTGAGCAAACTGAAAAAAGTCCTATAACAAACTCCTGTAACAGGCATGTGTCCTTCAGCCCTTGAAATTACCAGGAACTTCAGTGCGACCTCAGCGGTCATGCCACAAAGTAGCCATTAAGTGTGTGCTCACAAAGGGAATGTAGTAGGTTCATAATTTACATGGCATAGCACATCACGACAAGGACAGAGAAGGGACACACACACACAGTGTTAATTTGCAAATAATGATTTTATTTAAATCATACTTGCCATTGATATTGACGCGTGTCTACATGTGGACGATAACGATGATGGGGCATTTAGTGGGCACGAGGTAGTGGGCCTCTAGCTTCTCTCGAGGCTGAAAAAAGACGATCTTGTGACTGAGCTGTCGAGGACACGCTGCTTTCGTCGTCCCAAGGTGTACCTGTGTTTTATTCGCGTTGTACCGTGACACTGGTGGAGGTGCTGGGCCGCAACCCTGTCTGATGCTCCACACGCCCGCTGGGAGCCGCTCATCGAGTCCAAACGCATTGTCACCTGTAGAAACACCAGTGCATCGCTCCAGTCGACGGTTGCGAGGCCTCGCGCCAGAGCTGACTCACTCACCGGAACCTGCTAGGCACCGCACAGCTCAACCAATGGCCAACGCAAGCTCGCAACAGGTGCCCCAAGGCAGCTTTCCGACGCACCCATCTCAAGTGACCCTCTTTCAACCCCTCGTTCCCGATCGCTTTAGTGGCGGTGCCCATGAAGACGTTCACGACTGGCTTGACCACTATGAGCGTGTTGCCAAGGTAAATCATTGGTCAGAACAGGAAAAGCTTGCGCAACCCTCCGACTACCGTGGTTGACTTCATTAAGGAGGCTACGGCTATCGAGCGGGCCCTTCATCAACGCTGCAGGCAATATGACCGCATGTCCTGCAATGTCCCAATCAATGCTATCGCCATGACGTCTGAGAGTCAGAGCTGCTTGCGAGACTTGATTAGGGAGATAGTTCGTGAGGAACTGCAGAAGTTGTGGAATCCTGTTGCCGAAAATCCCATCGCATCGATCGCTGAAGTCGTACGCGATGAAATCCACCAAGCGTTGTCTATGGCTAGTCCTGATGCTCAGCAGCGTCCTATGAGCTACGCTGCCGCTCTCCGACGTCCACCACCCGCTATGCCGACGCCATACCACCAGGTGCCTATGGCCCCTTCGTATCCGCCGCAAGAGCAGACACTGCATCAACCACCTACGCTACAGCCATACAACCAGCCATCCACAGCCACCCCATGGGCATCGACGCGTCCACCGACCCAGAAAACAGATGCATGGCGCACCGTGGACAGGCGTCCACTATGCTTTCACTGCGGAGGTGCAGGACATATTGCCCGTCATTGCTGGCATCGAGGGGATTCATTCCGTCCTCAACGACCTTGGTTTGACGGTCGACGTGCCAATGACGAATACACTCCGCGCCGTGACGACACCTCTTTCTATGGAGCCCGTTATCACTTTGAGGACGACTCTACCACTGCAGAGAAGGCAATGCCTGCTCACCCTCCTGGTCCGAGACTGTGACTGCTGACCTTAGTGTTCTTCTCGACGGCCAGAAAGTGACAGCTTTAGTCGACACTGGTGCCGACTTCTCCATTATAAGTCAGGACCTCGCCGACAGCCTCAGAAAAGTGAAGACGCCGTGGACGGGCCCTCATATAAGAACAGCAGGAGGCCAGTTATTGATGCCCTCGGGAAGATGTACCGCAAGAATTGACATCAGAGGTTCTCCTTTCACTGCGTCGTTCGTCGTTATCGCCGCATGCTGCAGAGACGTAATTCTCGGCATGGACTTTTTACGGGAATATGGTGCCGTCATCAACATACCAGAGAGCTTGATTACGTTTTGCAACAGTTCGGGCTTACCCAATTCCCCAGAGGCGCGACCAAACCAACTGCGTCTTACTGATGACGATGTGGTTCTCCCTCCGAGGTCATGCACGCTTGTTTCTGTGGCCGCCGCTGCTCAGTTTGACGCCGAAGGAGTTGCGGACCGAATTAGCTCGCTGCTCTTCACCCACGGTATTTCTGTTGCACGAGGTATCGTCAGAGTTGCTGCTGGACGCACGGACTTGCTGCTGACCAATTTTGGTGCTGAGCGCCGGCATCTTCCTAAAGGCACGGCTGTCGCTTACTTCGACGATGTCATAGATGCCGAAGGCTGCTTGGCGGTAGTCGACGAGTCGCTAAATCTTGATTCAGCGCCTGTTCTGGACGTTACCATTACTTTGCCAAAAGACGATCGACGCAGACTCCTTGAGTTACTGGCCAAATTTCAAGACTGCTTTTCGACAACATCAAGAGTTGGCCGCACGCCTCTAACCAGGCATCGAATAATTACCGAGGAAACGGCGAGACCTATTCACCAGAACCCTAATCGCGTGGCTCCAAAAGAATGTGAAGCGATACAACAGCAGGTAGACAGAATGCTTGAAGATGACGTCATTCAGCCTTCACAGAGCCCCTGGGCGTCGCCTGTAGTACTCGTTAAGAAAAAGGACGGCAGCCTGCGCTTCTGTGTGGATTACCGGAAGCTAAATCAGGTCACCAAGAAAGACGTGTATCCACTACCGCGTATAGACGACTCTCTCGACAGACTTCGACATGCTCGATATTTCTCTTCAATGGAATTGCGGAGTGGATATTGGCAAATCGAGGTGGACCCGAGAGACCGCGAGAAGACCGCTTTTGTGACACCAGATGGGTTATATGAATTTAAGGTCTTGCCATTCGGTTTGCGCTCAGCCCCTGCTACCTTTCAAAGACTCATGGATACCGTGCTTTCGAGGTTGAAGTGGAAAACATGCTTAGTATATCTGGACGACGTCATAGTGTTTTCCGCGACGTTTGACGAGCACCTTGAAAGACTTGAGGTGGTCTTACGAGCCATACAGTCCGCGGGCCTGACGTTGAAGCCTGAGAAGTGCCACTTTTGCTACGAAGAGCTGCGATTTCTTGGTCATGTCGTCAGTCATGCTGGTATTCGTCCCGATCCTGAAAAAATCGCAGCCGTAGACCAGTTCCCTATGCCGACCGATAAAAAGGCTGTCAGACGCTTTCTCGGCCTCTGCGCGTATTATCGACGATTTATCGCGGACTTCGCACACATAGCATCACCACTAACTCGCCTAACAAGAGAAGACGTCACCTTTGAGTGGAATAACGAAGAGGAAGCTGCTTTTAACGATCTTCGCCAGCGACTACAAACACCCCCAGTCCTTGCTCACTTTGACGAGAGAGCCCCTACGATCCTTCACACCGATGCTAGCAATGTTGGTCTGGGAGCTGTGCTTGTGCAGCAGCAAGATGGCACAGAAAGGGTAATCGCTTACGCAAGCAGAACGTTAACACGTGCTGAGGCTAATTACTCCACGACTGAGAAAAAATGTCTCGCTGTGGTATGGGCGGTTATGAAATTTCGTCCGTATTTATATGGCCGCCCCTTCAAAGTAATTAGCGACCACCACTCACTGTGTTGGTTAACTAATCTTAAAGACCCTACCGGCCGATTAGCGCGTTGGAGTCTCAGGCTGCAGGAATTCGACATGGCAGTCGTACATAAGTCAGGGAAGCGACATATGGACGCCGACTGTTTGTCCCGTTCACCCATTGAGTCGGCAACCCTACCCGAGGAGGAGGAAACATCATTTCTCGGTGTCCTCGACACGACCACCATTGCGCAGCAACAACGAGACGACGCTGAGTTGCTTGGCTTAATTACCTACTTGGATGGCAGATCT